TATCCAGACAGCCTTCTGGACAAAGCCACTGTGGCAGGGGCCAAGGCAGAGGTGGTTAGGAGCAACCAGGCCAGCAGGGGATGACAGTTAGGGGTGATCAGGCCAGCAGGGGAGGGCAGTTAGGGGTGATAAGGCCAGCAGGGAGGGCAGTTAGGGACAACAGGCTGGCAAGTGAGGGCAGTTAGGAGCTTACAGGCAAGCAGGGGAGCAATTAGGGGCATCAGGCAGGCAGGCAGGTGAGTGGTTAGGAACCAGCAATCCCAGATTGTGAGAGGGATGTCCAATTTCCAGATGTCCTAAACTTAAATGTTCTCAGCACAAAGAGACAGACACTATGTGATGATATGACATAGGTGCTAGTTAACAATGTGGTGGCAATAATTTTGTAATATATAAGTATATATACATATACATATATATATATATATATATATATATATGTATCGTAAATATGTTGTACATTTTAAACTTCAACAATGTTATATGTCAATTATATCTCAATAAAGCTTGGGGGAATAATAAAATTAAAAAGCATTCTTTCATTACAATCTTAAATTACTGAAGAGTGGTCTTATATAGTCACCAAAGACATTAAAAAGTCTAGACAATGGTCCTAGGTAGTAGTATTCAAGCTGTAATACAAATGAAATTCCTTCATTTCTAGAAAGTTCCCTTGTGAATTGCTGGGTGGGAGAGTATCCATTTCATTTATCTTGTTTTGCTTATTGTGCCTTCCACTTTTATGATTTCATCTACAAAGAATAAAAAGTACTATAGGTGGTAGAACTTCTTCCAACTAAGTACTGTTAGGAAATAAATCCTAACAACAGTGTACTCAAGAAGCTGGAATGTAGGACACAGCTGTGACCAATATTTCAAAAATCATGATGGTCTTCCAAAGAAGAACCAGTTGAAAATTAGGGATTCACAATTGTTGACTGAACTCTGAATCGTTCACAAAGTCATTTTGACTTTTCTTGTCATTCTTCAGATGAAAAGTCCTCAGGATAAGTATCACCTTAAAGCCCATGTGATTATTCCACTAGTGAAATTTAATAGAGTCAAGACAAGAATAAAAAAAAAATCTAAGAACAGCCCAGTCGGCATGCCTCAGTAGTTAAGCATTGACCTATGAGCCAGAAGGTCATGGTTTGATTTCCATATTTTGAGCTCAGGGCCCAGTGGGTGCATACAGGAGGCAGCCAATCAATAATTCTATCTCATCATTGATTTTTCTCTCTCCCTCTCCCTTCTTCTCTAAAATCAATAAAAATAATTTTTTTTATCTAAGAACATCTGTCAGTCTGAATTTTTTAACTCACCTTTTCCTGTGAGAAAACTATATGTTCTAAAGCTTTGCCATTAACAACTCTAAATGTAGACTGTGAAGGAATGCTTATCTGACTCTCAGTTCAGTGCTATATCTCACTGTAAAGAAAGTCACAGCACAAGCTTACCCGACAAGAAAATCCAGCCTGTCTGGGGGAGGCAGACATAGCTTAGAAAGTTAATAAAACTAATCAGGGAGAAATATACCGGATATTTTTCATTTTAAAAACTGATCATTTATACTTTTATTAATATATTGGAAATAGTTATTATAAGTAACATTTATATGGCACTTAGTTTAATAAATATGTTTACATACAATACCATATTTATTGCCACAGTCACCCCAGTGGTATTTTTAATAGTTAAGTAATAGACAGATAAGGACCTAAGCTCTAATGGCCTTTATAATTTTTCAAGATCAAAAGTGAAAACTTACTCTGCTTTAAAAAGTATTTATCCATTACTTGAAACATAGACTTAGAAGTAAAGGAAGCCAACTAGTGCTGTTAGCTTCTATAGCAATAATAGTGTATTATTTGTACAGTATATTACAATGTACAAAGAATTAAAATGTTCTTTCATAAGCACATTCTCATTATGCTTCTGATCACTGAAACACTAAAATATCAGAAAACAGTATCATTTTTTTTTTCATTTTACAGATATAGAAACTGAGGCTTACAAAAATGTAATGACCTAAGCATAATCTCACTAACAAAGATTAATTCACTAAGTCATTGTGCTTTTTGAGATTGGAAATTTAAGAGACACAATTTTGGCTAGTTGTTAATATAACAGGAACTTATATCATCCACATACACTATATAATTAAAATATAATAATTAATTATTTTCAAATTAAATCAAAGCTCCTCCTCCACCAATGGGTATTATCAAACTCCCAAAAGGAGGAAACTAAAATAGCTAAAGCATTTGTGATGTTGTGTGGGGGCGTGGGGATTGTTTCATTTGTTTTGCTCCATTTTTAAAACATGTTCAAGGTAGGCTGGCAACTCTTTTGAAAATGTCAACTAGAAATAATTAAATTGGGGGGGAAAGATTAAGCAATAAGAATAGTCCGTTATATATAACGCTGTGGGAGGAGGAAGAGGAAATGTCTTAGAGAAGAAAGAGTAAGTTTTTCCAAAAGCAAAATTCACCAAATAAAACACTGGAAAATGTAATTCAATCAAGAAATAATATTTTTTTTCAATTTGGATTTATGTCATTGCTTTAGTAGGTAGTGTTAATAGTTTCCAAATGCCAATGTGTATTCATGAACACTTTGCAAGTTCATGATGTAATACATTCCTTTTTGGATACATCTTATGTCAAATCCATCTGTCTAAGGCAGATATGCATAGTTTTACAGAATCTTATCTGCGAAAGAACTTCCACAGTCAGACAAAAAATGGCTTCACAAAATAAAGAGGCACAGAGAAAAGAAAGATCAGCTGTTCTCCCTTCGTGCCTTGCCCACAGCTTTGTGTCCATCCCTGGCACCTGGCACCCCTCCAGTCTTGCTTTTCTTAAAATTCTGCCCATTCACAAGAAAGAGATGTGATCCTGGGATCTCAGGGAGAACTAACAAGATGAAGTTCTTGGAGGCAGTACCAGGGCTGGATCTTAATATTCCTAGGATATGTCCACCAAAATCTCTCTGAGCCCTAAACACCTGGTTCTTAACGTCTTCTGAATTCTATGGACAGCTTGTTAAAGTTTGAACATGGAACATTGTCATTTTTTATGTGATTCATCTCATCAGGAGCCCAAGTGAGTTAATCTAAAGACAGAAGATAGGGAAAGGGGAAAGGGAAGATGATTGCTGCATCAAGAAAAATACACAAATTCCACCAGAACAGGAGCAGGAGCAGCCTGGTTAGAAGTCAGAAGCCAATTCAGGTAAAGTAGCTCTCACTCCCACCACTACTTACTCTGATGGGCCTCCAGCCACCTTGAGGGATGAGATCATATTCCTTTTATAAATGCACCGCTTTCTTCCACTAATACAGTTAGGAATGTAGAACAATGAGTGGATCAACTATGACTATTAGTGTCTATGGCTATGGAAACTCAATAAGTGAACCCGCTTTTCTACCTCAATAAAAAGTACTCAGACTGTCTCCTCATAAAAGTAAATGTGTTTCCTCAAAGAATATATCAGAATTACTTTTCTTGAAAACTATTTTACATGCGTTTGGTGGATACAGAATTCTACGTTGATTATTTTTCTTTCCTTTTATAAGCCTCATCCATGGATGTGACCTACAACAGGGCCATATTTTTATTTTATATTTTTAACAACAAAACTTTGCATTGCCAGTTTGATCTAACCATAAAATTTTGCAAAACCACAACTAATATTTCTCTCCTACCGGCTAAATTATGTTAGTCATTTAAGTGGATGGAACTAAATATAAACTGTTCTTGAGTATGTAAATAATATTTTATAGGAAATGGCAAGTAATTACTATTGCTATTAGAAGTTTATATTTGCCACAGGAACCTGTGATTTTAAAAAACTGTTCAAATGATTTATTCATGAGGCTCTACATAGTATAAATGTATTCATTTGTATTTATAGATCTAAAGAGAAAAAGCAAGTTGGAAAGCAATCCCAAATTATAAAAAATTACCTAGCTTTGTGATATAGTAAAAAGTATAAAAATTATCTAGAAGGAAGAAAAATTATTTCTAAGCACTAACTTTATAAGCAAAAGCCCTATTTTTTTTTTTTTAATGATAGGAGAAATCAACGTTTTTAAGTAAAAACTGAACGGCTTAACCAGTCATACTCATTATTAATTCTTTTGCAGTGTATGCTACAGAAGGTAATAAAATGCTGATGTTTTCTAGTTTCTCACTTCAGTCTTCTCCAGCTTTATCTTAAACCTTGCTAGCATCAGAATTCGCCCCAACAATTACAAGAACCTGACAACAGCTTTCCTGGGATAATTTAATCTGCTGCGACCACAAATTCCAGTCCACATACTTTCTTCTATTATGGTTGTGTCTGTGTGTGTTTAATACACTTCTTATAAGGCTTTTAAAAATGAGCTAGTAGTTTCTCATTCAGCTCTCTGCCACGTTAAGAGAACCACGACAGGACATTTTTATACATGTAAAAATTACCCAGTTATTTATACAGAATATCTTAATTCAGCTTCAGAGGACAGCGAAGAGCAGTATCGTCGCCATCATTTTACATTTCTCCTTTTTTTGGGCTTTCACGGCTGTGTACCTGCGCCCCAAAATGATCATTCGCTGCTCCCTCTCAATATTCACCAGTGGGGATAGAAAAATCTTGAAACTTGCCTGACTGAAGTGTTCCCAGCCATTGCCCAGACACCAGAAGCCCGCTTTCATCTGCTCATGTTGGACCTTTATCACTTAACTGACCCCATAAAACACACAGGGCTACAACACACGGAACAGCCTCCCTCAAAATGCAGCCTGATTGTGATTCATGGCAAAAAGCTGGAATAGCCCTGCCAGGTCTTAGAAGCATTAAGATAAACTGCACGGAACGTGATACATATAAAACAGCACCTTGAAAATGAATCATCTGCTAATTCAGTATTTTCTAATTACAATCACTCCCTCTCAGGGCATGTAATTAATTTACTGAGTTTAAAAAAAAAAGTCAGGATTACTCACACAGTCTTGAAGATGCAATGTCAGCTATTTAGGACAGAAACATCCAAGGCCGTGCTAGAACTCAATTACCACTACATCTGCGTTAAAGCAGGAACTGCAGGCCTCTGGTCTACGGCAACCATAGGACTCGTGCTGCTCGTACGCTGGGCTATAATTTATGAAACTGAGCCCCAGATCCAGCCAATCATTTAGCTCCTCATAACAAGTCTAACTGGCTCTGGAAAGCTGAAAGGGCTGCACTAGAACAACAAAGATGAGATAGTTCACACAATAATCTGCTTATCTGGAATCACTTTGGCTCACGCGGGCCAGAGGAAAATCACAGCTCCATTGTCTGGGGGCAGGACAGCTGACCTGAGAAAACGAACTACACCTGGAGCAAGACCTTTTCTGGCTTGGCAATCCCAGGCAGAGCAGGCATTAAAGGACCGAGCTGCCCCTGAGAACTGAAGGGCAATGACAGCAGCAAAAACCTCAGGTAATTTCCATCTTTTTATTTTTAGCAGGAGTAATGCTGAGTCCAATTATATGCAGGAAGCCACTGGGGCAACTAGGTATGCTTCAATTTTATCCCTCTACCCCACCCCCCATTCTAATCTTTGGTAGGATCGTTTGTTATTAAGAGCATGAATGGAGGGAGGCTTAGGGTACCTGAAATGAACTTGAAACCGAAAGGATCGTCGGAGGAGGAAAAGAGATCGTTTTCCAGAGCAGTCTTAGAGCTGTGCACCCTTCTCACCCAAACACAGAAACAAGGAAAGGGGGAAGAAGCAGGGAGAGAAAAGGCGTTTCGTGAGAACTGTTAAGTGCTTTTCGTATCGGAAAGGAAATAACTAGGCTCGAAGTGTAAATTGGGAAGGTAGGTTAATGCCCAGCTCCTCTGGCCCTAGAAACCTAGACCACACAAGCATGCACCAGATGGGGTTGTTGGGGGAGAGAATGACATTAAAAAAAAGTTGACAGAACCCCCCGGGGGCCCGGCTTTCTGTTTTGTTTTGATTTCTTGGCAATATTTCATACTTCGCATTATATTTTAAAGTATTGCGTACACCAACTACTGCTGTTATACCATACTTCCAAATTTGTAGTTATTAAAGGAAAACATTTTTAAGTTAAAAGAGGTGACAAAAAATAGAAAAGCAACCCCCCTCCTTCCCCCCCCCCCCCATACACACACACAAAAAATGGAATTGACATACAGGTAGCCCCAGAACCACACCCTTAGGTACCTGGTGTACTTTACCCAATAGCAAATCCTTTCAAATCCTCAGCAAATAGTGTTTCTTCAACAAATTTCCTAGCAAGTATAACATTAACAACGAAAAAAAAATCTGTGTAATAAACCTTTTAATGGCTGAATCAATCAGTATACTTTCGAAGCGACAACAGAACCTTCACAATATTCAAATCATGTCAGTTTTATCTGCTCCCAGCGGAAGAAGCCGGGAAGGAAAACTTGCTTTGTTTAGTGATGTAATATAAACAATCGTAACAGAAGAAACATTTATGCACCTTTTGTTTGCTGTAGATAATTGACTGCGTCCAACTTGAGATTTGACACCAAAAAGAAAAACATAGCAGCACACAGGGAACAGGAGAAGTAATCCATCAACAATTCCCCCAGGACCTGTTCTCTGAATTGTCCCATGTGTGTCTAGCCAGGGAAGAATATTGCTGCTCTGTTTAACTATGTTTTATTTAACAAAACCTTTGTTCATTTGATAGTGCTGTTGTCTACGGTGACTATGTGAGAACCAAAACTTCTGAGGAAGCCAGGCTGTCAAAATGGTTGTTCCCTATACTCACAGGTAATATGGATCATCTAGCCTGAAGTGGAAATCAAATCCTTAAGGTAATATTGCCGTGGAATCCTCAACACACCCAATTCCCCGTTTCTCATTCCCTTAATAAAACTTCATTAAAATCCCCTCAAACTCCCATGTTTGAATGAATCTCCATTGGTTCCCAGACCAAGGCCAAGAATACTTGAAGGCCTTTAAGTCATTTCATAGGTATTGTTGTCCAGAAACTTCCCATAGGAATCACCTCCCAAGCACCTGAAGGCAACCACTTCACCACCCAAGGCAACCGCCTGCAACCAGCCAGCAAGCTCCTGTGCGGTCTCAGCATTCACAGGCAGCTGACTCACAGGCCGACCTCTGGCTCCCGCACCCTCACAAACACTGTTCCCATGGTCTCAACTTCAAGCTGTTCATCTCAACACACGTTCATGATAAAAGCTTTTTAAATGATTAGCACTGCCTTCCCCTCCTAGTATCATAATAATCGTGATAGACTGAGACATGTTACTGCTCCTTGGCCCTTTGGGCGGAATCTAGATTGTTTCATACCCGGAGCTGTCTCATAGCAGAGAAAACCTCACAGGGTCTTCTCTGCAAATACGAGTCTGCTTATAGCGGGCATCACTGTGCATTCAGCTTGTGTGAGCAGATTCTAGCTAGAGAGACTATACCTCCTGCCATCGGCACCGATTAATATTTGTTGGTGATCGCATCAGGCACTGTCTAAGAAGCTCTTGGTATGCAAGAGGCATCCAAACAGCTGAATTCAGTTTTTACTCGTTTCCTTGATCTCAGACTCACAGACAAAAATTAAGATGACCCCGATAAAAGGAAAGTAGCTCAGGAATGCAAGCGCTTTTCCGACAAGAACTATCAGCAAATCTCAAGTATTAGAACGGCTACGGTTGACTGAAAAGTGTCTAGAAACCTGGGCCAAGCTAATCTGTCTGGCCCTGCAGTTTAGGTAGCGAAAGGAGTCACCCCTGAGAAAAGGACAAGAACCGTTTCGACCTACCTTGTTAGTGCGTCTAAGATTGCTAGGGTAGTAACTCCACTCCCGGTGATGTGGATAGTCCCATTATTTTCACAATGCCGGACTCGGCCTAAGAAACCCTGCATCTCGGGGCCAGTGTGCCGGTGGGAAACTGCTGACAGTCCCAGTGCTGACACTTGGAGCCAGCATTGTATGGCTTAAACCGAAAGAGAAATAGTTGCTTATAAAAATGTCAGCAGGAAGGCCTGCCTCACTTTAACAAAGCCAAAACATTTTTTTTTTTCATTTAAGTTAAAAGGCATAGGTACTAGAGATGTGAGTCTATGGTCACAGGAGGGGTTACGCTTATGTTCTTGGTTGAGATATAGCACTTTATCGGGGCACGTAGACCTCAAATTCAGATTTGCTTTCAGTATATACAAGGGGGGAGAGGGTTGTTGTGTTTTGTTTTGTTTTTAATTCGGTCTCTCCTAAGAACATGAATTTATTTTTGAAATACCAATAATGCACTGGATAAGATTCTAAAACATAACATATATGATACTTAAAATTAACATAAACCAGCATCCTTCTGCACTTATTTTATCTGGTTAAAATTCTTCTAGTTAATGAGACCTGAACAGAAGGATCAATTTTTCTATGACCTCACTCTTTTACAAATTTTTTTTTCAAAACCTATACAACATATACATAACATGTGCTAAAACTGGCAATTACTTATATTCAGCAAGAAAAAATTCCTAATATTTGAGGTTAAAGCTACCACTAAACTGTATAAGCATTATAACATGGAGTTGAGAGCATAAAACTCTAAATCAGACTGTCTGTGTTCAAATCCCAGCTCTGATCCTTAACTGTGGACTTTGAGCAAGTTGCGTAAGAGTTCTATCCCTGCTTCCTCATATGTAAAATAGTACCACACACATAGTAACTGCCTCCTGGGGCTAAAGGGAAGGTTAAATGGTCAATGCATGCTTAGAACTGACCCTATTACATGGTGAGTATTCATTAAGAGAAAACTGTCATCATCATCATCACCATTATTATTACTATTATTATTATATTTAAGCTCATTTTAATAAATATATATAATATCCAAAATGAAGATGAGTTACTGAACAGCTGGATATGATAAAATAAATCTCTCTTCAGGTAAGATTTTGTCTTAAGGCCTATGAGATATCAGCTCAAGGAGGTATATCAGTAACTGTTACTTGTCTGTCTTCTGCCCGGTTATCACTTGGACACTTTCAACCCTGCCCTGCATTCAGTGTGTCACGCAAGACTCTAACCTAGGACATGACACAGAAGGGGGTAATTTTAGTAGGCATGATTCATGTGGTAGTTGGTACAAAGTTCAGGAAAGTTTAAAGATTCCTGCATGAAAGCAAAAAAAAAAAAAATTAAAGGAAGCCATTCATCTTCAGTCATGTACCCTCACCAAAAAAAGATCCAATGGGGAAAAAAAGAGTTACCTATTATAAACAGCTGTGCTCATTTTCAAAATTCTTGAACCATGTCTGGAATTCATGCTCAGCTTAAATATGAGAGAATCCTGAGGTTAATTATCTCCTTTCCTCTCTGTGACGGGTATTTCTCAGAGCAGGAGAATATTAATAAGACTTCGACCTGCTCACTGAGAACGTGCAGAGAAAAACAGTCAGCTCTCTGAGGGAACAGCCGCCCCACGGAAGGTCTACGGACTTACACACACACACATTCATTCATTCATTCACTCATGAATATTTCACCCCTTATCTCCCACGCATATCCCAGCAGCCACACCTAATGGTTTATCTAGTTCTGAGGGAGCCCACACTCACTCATAGCAGTGTGTCTGGAGATTCACCCTCCGTTTGTGTCCTCTCCCCGTACCCACCATTAAGACTGAGGAAATTTCTCTACTTCACAGTGAGCCCTTCCTCCCCACCATCTCTCCATGGAAGGTAGTTATTCCCTGTTGGGCAAATTATTGGATCAGTAACACTTACCACATAAATTAGCACTCAAGGACAAATAGCCAGTTGGAAAATTGGAAGACGTTTTCAGTTTAGCAAAAATGCTTTAAAAATGAAATTTGTGGCACTTTCTGCAAGATCCCAAATGAAATCAAATATTGAGGTTTAATAGCTCTTAGACTTTGCTAGCGAGAGAATCATATGTTTTTTTTTTCTTTTTTAATCCTCACCCTAGATATATTATTGATTTTTATTTTATTTTTTTCATTATATTTTTATTGATTTTAGAGAGAGAAGAAGAGGAAGGGAGAGAGAGAGGGAGAGGGAGAGAGAAGGAGAGGGAGAAGGAGAGGGAGAGGGAGAGGGAGAGGGAGAGGGAGAGGGAGAGGGAGAGGGAGAGGGAGAGGGAGAGGGAGAGGGAGAGGGAGAGGGAGAGGG